AAACGAAATATCATAATTTTGGGCGCATTTACCGTATTTTTAAACTGAGCGCAGGCTTAAAACTGCTTAAGATGGTTTACTGACCTTTGTTGGTTTCCAACAACAGAGGAAGAAATTTTAGCAGTCTATGAAGCGAGCACCTGTGAAAAACAGATTCAAAACTCGCCTTGCAGTGTTTACAAATAAGCTTACAGTTTGATTATTTTTAAGGTGACTTCATATAGTTTCCTGACCGCGCGCAACCTGGTTACTGGAAAGTGGCCGATGGCGCGAGCTTTAAAAAGTTCGCGCGACCGACGCGCGGCTCTCCCACGCAGGAAGTAAACAAACATGGCTTCCCAACTTTGCAAACTCTGTCTTCGTCAAAAACTTGTGGAAGTATCATCTTTTCGAAATGTTTACCTATCCGTAAGAAGGCTGCAAATTCCTTGGAGTCCAAAAGAAGGTTTAAAAAATCATTTCCCGCTGTTCTGAACAACTTATCTGATTCTCACAATCATCGATCGAGGGACACAGATGAAAGAAATTGGCGCCGACCATTTATATATTTTGCCGTCCTTGGAGTCGTGAACGCTACGAAAAACGAGCAGAATTCGCCAAAGGGGGATTCCCATATTTATAGACCAAGTGAAGAAGTTACTCCTCCAAACCGCTTCAACGTGCGCACTTCTAATGGTCGCTTCGCGAAAAGCAAGGAAAAAGATCAACTCGCCGATCTCCACTTCAAGAAATTAACAGAAGGCTTCAAAAGTTGGGCAGCCAAAAGAAAACTCGAGTTTGAAAACTCATCGGATGAAAACGAGCCACCGTCTAAGTGCTTAACAAGAGCTACTGAGGTACGGTTTGAAATGTCAGATATTTAATTACTTTGTTGAGTGACACGCGAGCTCAATAGTTTTTGTAACTATTTTTTAAATGCCAGGCTGCCGCGTCAAGAAAAGAGGCATTCCCCATGGCAGTCGGATCATTCACCTGGACATTTTTCGAGATAATATGAAACAATGCTGTCATTGTCAAAGAGTTAAATCTTTATTATGAACTTCAACAACATTGCAGAGTTAAGGGATGAGTAAACTTTTTTCCATAAAATTACTAGGATTTATGCTGTAGAGACAGAACATAACAATGGTAAAACATCTACATATTCTAATTGATTGTCACTTCAGGGACCGATCATTATAAGAGTGGTGGAGTTACATCAATTTCAGTTGTTTTTTTAGAGCTCCTCAAAACTCCCAACTTTTTAAAGCCAGTTAAATCCATATAAAAAGGTAATACCATAATGAATCAAAATTAAGTTTCTTGAACAATGCTTCACCCAAATGGTAACATAAAACTCATCTATTGAACAATTTCATACTCCATTTTTAGATGACTGTACACAAATCCTGTACAAAAGTCCTTCACGGGAATTGCAATGCCATGAAATAGCAGCAGTAAATTTACCACATTAATGCAATACCTTGGCAGTGATCTCATAGCATGCATTTAGAGGATATGTACAATACTTCATCTAAAGCCACTATTGGTTTCACTGCAAAAGGGGCTCTGAGGACATCCTCAAAAAAGTTAAAATTCTAATACATTTGGTAGCAAAGAAGTAGGTCCTTCAGTAGTGTTGCAATAGCTTTTATCACCACTGGCAAATTCCTGTATGATAAGTCGACACCCATCTCCCCCATTTTATTGTAACCTCTGAAAACCCATTCACTTTTTCATACATCTCCTACCATCTCTCAAAGAAAGACCTAAACTTTACAGATAGTAGTAATAATTAATTTTATTGATCTTACATAGGTCCACTGTCATTTCACAATGTAACAAATGAGACACGACATGGCTTAGCTAGTACATTCTTCATAGAGTGCTTGTTTTGTGGAAAAAGCAACAGAATAGATACTTCTGGTAAACACAGATCTGGCAAGCGTGGACCACCTGCTTTCAATGTAAACACGAGAGCACTCAGCTGTCTACATGCTGGGATTGGTCTAACCCACATTAACAATGTGCTTGCGACAATTGACATTCCACCCATGAATTCCTGTACATACAAACAAAGAGAAAGGGAAGTTGGTAGAGCTGTGGAATGCATTGCAAAAACAAGCTGCCAAGATTCTTTGAATAGAGAAAGAGCACAAGCACTTATTAATGGGTGTCAGCCTGATGATAACAATTTGGTTTCAATTCCTTGTTCGTTTGATATGGGTTGGCAAAAGCGTGGCAAGGGCCACAATTATCGTACTGGTCATGCAGCAGCCCTGAGCTTAGCTACTGATAAAGTTCGAGATTACGTTACAAAAAATAAAGCCTGTCGCTCCTGTGAAGCTACAAAAATGGCAGGCAGACAGCCAAAACAACATGATTGCAGAAAAAACCACTCAGGTTCATCCAAGGCCAAGGAGGCTAGTGATGCAGTCGAACTTTTCACTAATGTAACAAAATCAAATGTGAAATTTTCCACATACGCAAGGGATGATAATTCCACTACTGAACTTCACTTAAAGCAAAAGGTGCCATATGGTGTAGAAAAGTGGTGACACTGTTCATGTAAAAAGGTCCCTAACAACACGACTCTATAATTTAATTCAGCGAAGCAAGTTTCCAAATTGTTCAATATTGTCACAATAAGTTTTCAATTACCTTGTGAAGTGCTTTACACATTGCATAGCACAAAACAAGGGAAATCATTCAAAAATGAAAACTGGAATGCAAAACATAGTTCCCCATGCATTTGGTGATCACCATGGCTGCGATGAATCCTGGTGTGGTTCTAAGAAAGATCCTGAGCATTATAACCACAAAGACCTTCCCTATGGCAAAGACCTCCATGGAGACAACCTTAAATCGGCACTGACATCCCTGTTCGGAGAATACAGCACTGATACTGTCATTCGAAAATTGGTTCCTGCTGCAAATTCTCAGTGCAATGAATCCCTGAACAGTGTGGTGGGCTCTAAAAACCCCAAGATTCGTTATTATGGAGGAAGTGAAAGTAACGACTTTAGAGTGTCCTGTGGAATATCACAAATTAATTTAGATTATGCCTATATTCCCCACACTTTGGAAGCCCTCAACATAGAGCCGGGATTTTTCTGCAAAGAATTTAACCGAATAATGGAAAGGAAAACCACAATGGACAAAAACAGAAAATCAGCAGTCATATTCAAACGACGTAGATCACAGTTGAACAAACAAAAAATTTCAGATACCTCCAAGAAAGAGGCAAAGGAAGGTACAATGTACCAAAGTAACATTGGTCTGAACCTTACTCCTGAAACAACAACCGAACTAAACACAGTCTCTGAACTTTGCAGTGTAAATACTATGGTTGCAAAAAACCAGCAAGAAGAATACGAGAAAATAGTTCCAAACAACATCCAAAGACCGTCAATCAAAAAGGAAAAATACGATGACAGTACCTTTTATAATTTCGTGTTGTTTGATACTGAGACAAATTCAACTAGCAAATTAGCCGAGCTCTGCCAGCTTGCAGCAGTGGACAGGTCAGGGAAAAGTTTTTCGTGCTATATTCTTCCAAAAAAAGACATGGATGCTCATGCTTCAAAAGTAAACAATCTGACAATAAAGACTGTGAATGGGATCCGCACTCTTTGCAAGGACAATCACCCTGTAACAGTTTTTCCTTTAGAGGAAGCACTTACGCAATTCTTACACTTTTTGAAGGCGAGTACCACTGAGGCTTCGAAGCGCACCACAAAAAAAGTTTGCACAGTCTTAGCAGGACATAATGCCGCCACATTTGTTGTCCCTATACTTCTTCGGAACGGTGGACACAATTTTGTTGCCGAACTCACTTCTGAGAACATCAGGTGTGCCGACACTCTTTTACTGTTTAAATCACTTATAAAGGACAAGCACTCATCTCTCCAAAATGAACAAGGCCAATTTCCAAAGCCAAACCAAAGTTCTCTTTACGAACACCTATTTAAGGAAACCTTTGAAGCCCACGACGCCCTGGAAGATGTCTCTGCCCTCCGTAGAATCTTGTTTTCCTCCAGACTAGCTCTTTCAAATGAAATTATCGTAAACAGAAGCTCGTTGATCTCTGTGAAAGATGCTACGGAAGATATGAAATACCTCGACGACCGCCACAACCGACTTCTGTCTTATAGAGGAAAGTTGTACCATCCAGGTCACCAAGATAGCCCAGTAAAACAGAACATCTCAAAGAAAATGGCTGGAAGTGGTCTTGAATACGAAGATTTCCAGAATTTGTTCCAAAGATTTGGGAGAAAAGGGCTTGTTGGCATTCTGTCAAAGCCGCCATTGTCCGCTCGCTCGTCGGCGCCAAGAGTCACACGAACAACAAGAATAGTACTTGCAATTGAGAAACATTTCGAGGAAATTTCAAAGAATTAAACCCCACGGTAAGTCCTCAACTAATTCTTAAGTCGAAACTTTGCCCCTTTTTGCGAAGAGCTAAGCTGACTTTCGTTCAAAGTTCCTTCGATTTCTTAGCTCACGATCATGTCAACATTAGATCCGAAGCAGAGGTACGCGCGCGTGTGCGCTGGTTGGGAATTTCACGCATGCTCAAATAGTGATCTTAGCAAATTCCTATTCTGTGACGTACCGTGTTGTGCGATCGAAAAAATGCGAAACTTTCACGTGAATATCTCCAGTTTTCTTCGGTGAAATTTCTTCAAATTTTACAGAGCGGTAAATACTGTTTACGCCTTCTGTCTACCAATTCATCAAGTAAATTTGTAAGACAATTTTTTAAGTCGAGCTAAAAAACACAAATTCGCTGAAAGCGAGAAAACTACCTTTGTAACCCCTATTTGTTTGGCCTTCAGAAGATTCCTCTGGACATTTTTCATGAAATGTCAAAGTTAAGAAAATTTTTATCGAAGGATATGGAAGAAAATTGAAATAAAACCAAAATAAACACTGTAAACAACCTATCTTTAGAGAGTTTTAATTCCAGGTAAAACCCTGTTAATTTAACAGTGATGGATCAAAAGAGTAGTTTTGTCTTCTAGAAGTTCATTTCGATAGACTTGAAAGAGGTGCGATTAAGAGTAATGCGAAAATTCCCGTGGATAGTAGATACTAGCGCGCGCCAAATGAACAGCGAATAACCATATGGAGCCACCTTAAACGTGAGGTTGCAGTCCGTGACGTCAGCGAAAACTATTTGTTTGCAATATGCAACTTACAACAACTTCCACAAAGTGACTCAAGTGTTATCATTTAGCGATAAGCGAAATTAAAACGATGTAATTTAAAAAAGTGTCTCGCAGCGTGGCTTCAAGTCAGACAGACTTTGAAA